AGATTCAAATTCATTCATGTAGCATCACAAAAAGGGTAATTTAAAAAAAATCGCTGGGCTATTCGAATCTTCTGGAGGACCACAGATTTATGTAGTTGGATCTTAACCTTCAATCTTCAGTCTTCGTGGTTAGGTATATCAATATTGTCGAAAAAAAAAAACAAACACGAAACTCTGTGATCAATTTCAGTTCGAAGTTCGACGATAAGTTTAGCAACCTTCGGTGTTGCAAACTAAAATAGCAATGCACAGTGGTCCAGAATTCAGATTTAGGTGAAATGATATGTTTTGAGCCTGAAATTGAAACTTTAGACTAAAAGTCTCTTCTACAAAGTTATTCCTTATATTTAGGCCCCTCATTTTTATGACAATGAATTCTAGGGTGGTTCCTATTATCATTAAAATCAAAAATCAAACTTTTTTGTTTGAATACACTAAGTTGTTTTGCTCTAGTTTTCTTATTTCGAATTTCTCAGCAAAGATGTCTTCAATAACTTTTAGATCTTAAGAAGGTGCAAATTTTTGCTGCAGCAAGCTTGTCAAATTCTTTCGCCGATCAAGAGTTATTGACGTTTTTATACTAAAAATATGCACTTTTCAAATTTTAATATCTCTGTTTGGGGCAAACAAAAAAAAAAGTTTATTTTACGGCATTTGAAAGGGCGTATGTTATTCTCAATAATATGAAACATTGGAGGTATGTTGTTTTTGAAACTCGTATAAAATCAATTTCAATTTATTCATATTTTTCACTATATTTGGGTATATCTTTTTTATTAGAAGAGATACAGACAACACATCTCGCTATAAAACATTCGTCTTAAAGAGTTTTAAAAGTCTCTACAAGATGACTTTCATGAGAAATTTCAAATAAAAAAGTTAGTGCTAAAACTATTTTTCCAGGAACACCCTAAGTCCCAACCCTAGTGGTGTTGAGTACTTGGCACTGATGAAGTCTGCAAGTAGTAGACGAAATACGCGTATCTGTCAAAATATAAGCAATTATAACGGAATTTAAAGGAAATAAACCAACACACTCAAAGCTCATCATAAAAGAATTCCGCTAAGAGGTTCGACAAATTTAAAGGATTGATCATGGCTTCCAAGCTTTCAGAACCTAATAGGTACATCGTACAAGCTTACTCGTCTTTGTATGGAGGAAAATTATTTCATTTTCAGAGAAAATTTTTATAACCAAACTAAAGGCGCTCCAATGGGCAATCCGCTTTCTCCATTTTATGTGAATTGTTCATGGCTAACCTAGAAAATACTCTGGAGGATAGGAATTTGTTGCCCAAATGTTGGTACGTGGATGACATCTTTAGCATTGTCAAAAGGGAAGATTTATCAAACACTTTGGAGGCCATAAGCAACGTTCACAAGGACATCAAATTTACTCACGAAGAAGAGAGAGACGGCAAACTCCCATTCTGAGATCTTCTCATCATCAGGGAAACGTCTTCGTTCAATTTCGAAATCTATAGGAAACCAACAAATACAAAGAGAGTAATACCAAGCACTTCAAACCATTCCCATCAACCCAAAATGGCCGCTTTTCACCACATGTTCACAAGATGCAAACTCTTCCTCTTAGCGATACAGGCAAATCAAAGGAAATAACTCACATTTTTTAAATCGCTAGACTTAATGGGTATCAAGAAAAAACAATTCAAGCAGTAATCGATAAAAGAACAAGGGATCATTTTAGGCGTATTTCGACAACTCTTACACCAGTAACTGAGGGTTTAAAACGGGTAGCGGTGATTTTCGACAAAAACATTACCAAACCATTGATTTCAAAGATTAGAAGTTTTGGCCTGGATTTAGTATTCAGTAGCAGGACAAATCAGCTGAAGTCACTGTTAGGATCAACTGAAGATTCAATAAATGTCTTAGGGAAAGCCGGAGTCTACAAAATCTCTTGTCCAGATTGCAATAACATCTACATTGGTCAGACGAAAAGGACTTTGGAAACAAGGTTTAAGGAACACATCGCAGAGGTAAAAAGGCTAACAAAGAGATGGATAAAGGACTTCATTATGAATTTAAATCCAATCCATGCAGAACATATGGTTACAAAGGGGCACAATTTGACTTAGGATAACATTAATATCCTGCGGACTGTATCTTCGCCTTGGAAACTAGACGTAGCTGAAAGTTTAGAAATATGTAAACATAATCCATCAACATTGCTTAATAGAGATCAAGGAAACGGATACTCGAGACTCTTTAGCATGCTACCTAAAACAACACATCGTAGCATGTATCTACCTGTTGGAGGCTTAATTTCGGTACCTGGTTAGGTCAATTTTGACATGGCAGTGGATACCTACTGATTTTTAGTACCTATTGATTAGTATATAACTCTTAGATAAAAGATGGATTCTTCAGTGGTGTTGAGTATTTGGCACTGATGAATTCTGCAAGTAGTAGACAAAATACGCGTATCTGACAAAAGATAAGCAATTTTAACGGAATTAAAAGGAAACAAACCAACCTACTCAAAGCTTCATGTAGGGATTCCGTTAAAGGGTTCGACAAATTTAAAGGATATAGGGTAAATGTTGGCTTCGGCACCCATTGACTGTTTTCGGCAACCTAAATTTAAACGTTAATTTCACTATGTTTTCCCATCAACGCACTTCCCTGAATATGTCCAAACGATTGTTTAGCCTTTCAGCTTCAATCTGATTATATTTGAACGATCGAGCAATCCAGTAATGCTACATTTTTCTTCAAATAAAGCATACGCACTACAAAGTGGGGTTGATTTCGAGTTGCCAATAATAGAACAGCTGGTTAACACGCAGTTCTAATGGGAAGGTTGCCGAAGAAAAAGAGGCTGCCGACAATAGTCACACTCACCTGAGAAGTTTGGAGCGTTGTAAAAACGTTTTGAAAAATTCTGTCGATTGGAATGGATAGAGAAGCAAGCAGCAGATGAATGTAAACAAACAGACACATCATATATGTGCGTGACGCTGAGAAAATGCTAGTAGAAGTGCAGACTCTGCTTAGATTGACGAGAATACGTAAATTCCCCTATCGTTCCACCTAAATCTACATTCTGGACCACTGAGCAATTGCTAAAGTTGTCAAACTAGCCGTACAAATAGCATGTTATTGTACGCATTGGTGCGAGTGCTCTTAGTAAGCATGTACCATTTTTTCCGAGGGGACACTTATATGATCAACTATGAGCTTCTTCTTCTTCGCATTTTAAGCTTATTGCATATTGCATATTAGCTTATTGCGTGCTCTCAACTTAGTGTTCTAGATGCACTTCCACAGTTATTAATTGAGAGCTTTCGATGCCTGTACAATTTTTGCATTGGTATAATTGTAAGGCAAGTCCAATCATACTTCTATGCCCAGGGGAGTAGAGAAATTGTTCAACCCGAAAAATTCCTAGACCGGACCGGGAATCGAACCCAGCCACCTCCAGCATGGTCTTGCTTTGTAGCTGCGCCTTTACTGACTGAGCTAAGGGAGGCCCCTATGAGCATGAGTATTATTTGTATAATAATTATGATCACTATACAAAAACTAAACAACAATTATACTAGTGTGACCATGGATGAGCATGAGTATGCTGCATGACTTTTTTAAACAAATAAGGCATACAAGCAGGCATGGCACATCATTTACATTCATTCGATGAAATGATGTATGAAGCTTTTGATATTAGCTACAACTTTTCTGAATAACTCAAATCTGTATATTTTATGCATGATGAACCGGGGCGAACAGTTTTTCAGTGAATGTAAATTACATTCATTGAAAAATAGTAACAAGTTCTGCTCGCTCTAGTTTGTCATGCATAAGAGGTATAGATTTAAGATATCGACAAAAATTGTAGATAATATCAAAACCTGCAAAAGTTTCATACATCATTTTACGGAATTCCATTGATGGAAAAAGTTAGAGAAAAATGAATGTAAATGAATGTACATAAATGATTTGCCATGCCTGCATACAAGTCTATCCACAGCATAGACATGATTGTAGTACCGTTGTACTCCTAAATTCCAGTAATACAATCGACGTACTAGATTACAGGAGTATAACGTTACTTCAATCATGTCTTCCGATGGTATTATTGTTGGTGTCATTAGATTGCATGGTGAATCCGAGCAGGAACGAATGTCTCGTGTGGTGTGTTTTTGGTATTGAAACATTAGTTTTTGTTTTTATGTATTTTATGGTATTAATCTTTGGTATTTTACCTCTTATGTCATGCTGACGAACATCAAATGTTGGTATCAGGTCAGAATTAGGTATTCATTAGTTATTCTCTCCTGCTCGTGAAACTTCTCTTCGTGAAAATTCGGAAGCTGGAGTCAATAATTACAAAAGCAGTTCCACGCGTTTGCTACGTTGGTGCCGAATGAAAGGATACTATCATAAAAGCTGAGATCTCACATCATAGAAGCTTCAAATCGACATCCATCCCACCACTTCATGAGCACGGTCCTAGAGACTCATGATGCTTAAGATCTATGATCCATTGCTTTACAATAAGCCAAATCGGTTTCACCAAAATAGAATTCTTCAATAGGTACCTAGAATCAGCATTTGCCAAAGCAGTTACAGTATTTCATTTCCTCTTCAGCGATCAAAAGGCCACCTCGTTTCTACAGAAAACCCCCAATAAAAGAGGTAAATGTCTGCCTCCATTTGTTCCAATCCGTTTGTTGTGTTGTTCACCGAATGGAAATCGATTTATGGAAAGCATATTTAAACATAATGCTACCGTTTTTTCTCCATCTACTACTCCCTGCTGCGTTCATTCGACAGCGGCTGCGGGCAAAGAGATTATTGTGTTCGAAAATACCTGTTGATAGGTTTTGCACCCAGCTTTTCTTCCCCTCAACTTCTGACTGCCGACCACCCTCGCCTACGAGGAAAATGTATTTCTATTTGTTTGCCTGGTGTTTGTGTAACTAAGAGTGAAAAATGAATGCATCTTTACGTTTCTATTTATTTTTTTACCGTTTCAGGTTCTGGGAAACTGATATTCGAACCGCGCGGACGGCCAATCGGACCACCATTAGGAGAAAGCAAACTGGCAGCGAGGCGGATATCATGACGACGTAAGTAAGCACATGAATATGCTCTGCTCTGCTGAAACTTGCGCTTTATTTCCCTGTTTGCCTGGGGGCGGTGAGGGCAAATTAGAATGTTCCGACGAAGCTTCTTCCTGCTGGCAGAAGGAATTTTTCCTCGGAAGTTTGACGAATGAATTGCCTTGGGCGACTTTCTTCTGATCAATAGAAGGGGCCGATTTAATTGGTTCTGAGAATATTTATGCTGGAATGTCTGTTGGTTGGGTCTTTAATTGGGAGTCAATGGCGAAATTTAGTGTTGATGAATTAAATACTTTTCAGAATCGAACCAGCCCAAGGCTAAAAGTAGCGAGACTAAAGAAAACTAAAGTAACTAAACTAAACTAAACTTTTCAGAACCAGAATATTCAATGCGCGACATATTTTTTAAAAGAAATAGCGGAAATATAGATTCAGTAAACTAAACTAAACTAAACTAAACTAAACTAAACTAAACTAAACTAAACTAAACTAAACTAAATTAAACTAAACTAAACTAAACTAAACTAAACTAAACTAAACTAAACTAAACTAAACTAAACTAAACTAAACTAAACTAAACGAAACGAAACGAAACGAAACGAAACGAAACGAAACGAAACGAAACGAAACGAAACGAAACGAAACGAAACGAAACGAAACGAAACGAAACGAAACGAAACGAAACGAAACGAAACGAAACGAAACGAAACGAAACGAAACGAAACGAAACGAAACGAAACGAAACGAAACGAAACGAAACGAAACGAAACGAAACGAAACGAAACGAAACGAAACGAAACGAAACGAAACGAAACGAAACGAAACGAAACGAAACGAAACGAAACGAAACGAAACGAAACGAAACGAAACGAAACGAAACGAAACGAAACGAAACGAAACGAAACGAAACGAAACGAAACGAAACGAAACGAAACGAAACGAAACGAAACGAAACGAAACGAAACGAAACGAAACGAAACGAAACGAAACGAAACGAAACGAAACGAAACGAAACGAAACGAAACGAAACGAAACGAAACGAAACGAAACGAAACGAAACGAAACGAAACGAAACGAAACGAAACGAAACGAAACGAAACGAAACGAAACTAAACTAAACTAAACTAAACTAAACTAAACTAAACTAAACTAAACTAAACTGGCTTATTGTATGTCTTTGCATATGCGTTGTCAGAACGGGCAGCCCCCCCCCCCCCCCCTCCAGACTCAGCCGCAATTTATATATATTTTTTAGATTTCATGTACGGGAAATGGATGTAATGTCGGCCTAAAAACCCCTTATTTGGGCTTATACATAAATTCAGCAATCGACTGAATTTTCAATAGCAACCAAAAATATCCTTTAGTACCGTCCCAATGACGTGTTCATCTAGATAAAAATGATAAATAGAAGATTTCTAGCGATGGGCCCAATCTTAGATCCATAGGCCAACATTAGAGCCATTTTCCCTATCTAGAAAAAAAAAAGTTTAAATTTTTACTTGAACTAGCTTTTGTCAACTTTTTGACGCAGGACTACGTCTGTGATTTCTATACGGGGGTACACTTTGTGAAAACCGAAAATGTAACATGTAACAAAATAATGAAAGATGTTGAACATTAATAACTCAGCTGCCCCTGTACCAATATTTATAAACTTTTGAAAAAGTGGTAATGTCAAGCATTGTCCAATGTACATATAAAAAGTGATAATTGTATAACTTTTTTCATGAAATAAACGTTCTTCCCATACCCAGTCGTCATAATCCAGTACCACTTGGTTGCACATCATTCTACTTTAACCTGAAAAGATATAAAAGAGCGCTGCTGTATAGTCTCAAATCAGAACAAACCAATCCCACCAAGTTGGTCTTTCATAAAAACAGGCCTGATTGGACTAGGAACTTTAAATGATAATTAAAAGTTTCAAATGAACTATAGTTGAAAAGACGCATCTGTGTCACTTGTTAAATCATACATGTAAATCCACACAAAAACCAGAAATAAAGATCATTTAAAATAAAAAAAAATAAAGCTTCAACTCAGCATTTGCTGCCAGACTGTTGAGCAGTAGGTACAGTCAACGTTTTGTTTCTCTCGCACTCTTCGTTCGATCGATTGCGTTGCACCGTTTTTTCTCGTGTTGAATAGAAACGCTCTCGCTGACCCAGCAATGGGTAAAAAATCGCGCGGTGGTGCGAGTGCCGGCAATCCCAGGAAACGGTCTAGGCCTAAAGACAACAGTGACAGTGCGACAGCTGTTCGGCAACAATCGGTTCTCCGTTCTGAAGGACGGTGCAGAACCGGTGGTGGAAACAACAGGACCGCCGAAGAAGGACAGAATGCCGCTCTTCTACGTGAAGGGCTTCCCTGCGGGAAAAAATAAACTTCTTCATCACGCAGGGCGTCCGGTGCACCATCCAGCTGTGCACGGAAGGATACAAACTGATAGTTCCGGCATTGAAATATTACAAGGCGGAACAGACCATACTGGACCAATCAAAGGAGGAGTACTTCTCCCACGAAATCGAGGCTGTTAAGCCGTGCAAGGTTGTCCTGCGAGGACTATACGACATGGACACAGGCGTCCTCTTGGAAGAGCTGGTGGCTAATGGACTAAAGCCGGTCCAAATTCACAAGATGGCCAGTCACAACAAGGCCGTCAAGTACCGCGACCAGCTATACCTGATCCACCTTGAAAAGAACTCAACAACTTTGATGGACCTCCTGGGCATCCGCGTCCTATTCAACATTGTGGTGAAGTGGTAGCGGTACAAGCGGTCAGTCGTGGAGTCACCCAAGGCTCAAACTGCCTGCTGTTCGGGCATGGAACGGTTAGCCGCTGCAAACAACACAAAACCGACGCCTGCGACAGACTCGATGAAGCCGATCCCATTTGTGCCAACTGCGGTGCTGCTCACAAAGCTACAAGCAAGGCCTACCCAAAGCGCACCGAGTACATCGAGATCCGGAAAAAAAGCATCGACGAGAAACCAGTCCGGCTGCAAGAAAGTGCCGGAAATTAATGACTAGGACTTCCCACCGGTACCACGACGACCGATTACAGTGCTGCCACCGCTGCCACTCAATCAACGATTGGCTGCTGCTCGTACCGCTGCTACTGCTGCGGCGGCCGCCACCGCTCAAGTTCAGTACCGCAGTCGGCGAGTTTGTGACTCAGTGAGCGTTCACTCAGTGAGCGCTCACGTGTAGTAGAATCGCTAATTGTGGCGCGTTGGAAGAGGTGATGACGGGTTTTGTGGCGGGCAAGTTGTTTGCAGACTTTTCTTGTGGCTTACTAGTACTGATAACCATTTTCGGTTCTAGTGGTTTCATAGATCCCATAATCAAGAGAAGGCTGAATAATTTAAGGTGGAAAGTTAATATTGCTGAGATTTTATATTTACATTTCGGTTCAATTTAAATTTTGAAGTGGCTCGTTTAGTAGACAGTATTTTACTGAGTTTTTCTTTTATTCTATTTTATCAAGTGCATTTTGAACTTTTCGCGAGTGCCGGGACTCAACGCAACCTACGGAGCTTTATGGAGTGTTTGCATCCATGGGGATTTGCTGGCACTAGTGTATTAGCCAACTAGCACGAATTTCAGTTGCTTCTGAAATCTCATGCTGGTAGACGCTGGTGTTTACAGTATGCTGGTGAGCTTTTTTGCAAGCAGCTGGCTCATTAACGCTAGTGCAATGGCATAAGTGTAAACATCCCATTAGTAATGCGCAATTTGATAAAGCTTACCAAACGCGTTCTGGACTTATGAAGTTTTTGGAATTTAGTCGGTACGGACGCGAAATCTAAGAATCTCTATACCTACACAGCAAAAAAATAATTTTGATATCAAGTCAAAGTGGATGCACTACAATCATGTCGAAAATATGGTGTAATATTACATGCTAAAAAGGACAAAATTATCATTAATACAATGCATGAACTGACATTACGCTGCTTTTACTGCATTTGTTTATTTATGTGGTCATAAAAATTACATGAAATTTTCGACATGATTGTAGTGCATCCACTTTGATGTGATATCAAAATTATTTTTTTGCTGTGTAGTAGTAGAATATTTTGGGAGGAAACCAAAATTTATCAACTTGCATTTATTTTGGTGGCACTCTGCTAATAAGCTGTTTTTTATGCTGTTTTGCGCGGCGTTCGGAACTTGCTCGGTTTACGGAACTCACTTAGTTTAGATAGTTTATTCTTAAACAGATTTACTATTTCAATCGGAGTACTACGCAGACGTATCCTTTGACTCGTTAATACGTTTATTCTATTTTGTCAAGTGCATTTTTAACTTTTCGTGACTGTCGGATATAACGTGGTCTACGGAGCTTACGAGATTTACAATTCAATACTAATTCAATCGGATTACTACGCGGATATATCTTTTGCCTCGTTAATACGCACTCACGTCACAACATTTTTCCTAAAACTATCTTGAAACAATATACTGAAGCCAGTGTTCAAACTGCCAACATTGGCTAGTCCTTCTGTAGTATTGTCAAAAGATAGAAGCAAAATCTACGCACATGGGTCAGGTTTTGAAAACTAATGTCGTTTTCGTTTTTGCGGTGTAGCTACACCGGTGCTACACTGCCGAACACCGAAAAAAATTAGGGTGTAGTTATCGGTTGCACCTTTCTTTACAAAGAAGTGACGATGAACTGTCAATGACTCGCACTTATTGCTGCTTACACTGCACCGGTGTAGTGTAGTAAAAACGAAAACGACATAAGCTGTCACGCAGCCCCAGCTTGATATCATAAAAAAAAGTATCCAAGTAACCATTTAATCACAAAATAACTTTAAATGTGGGTTCAAAGTGAGACAATGTCATTGATATATGCTATCGTTAGTTGGGTATCCAGATGAAATTATTACTTTAAAAAACTTATCCTGGTTGTGCCTAATTTTCGTTTGCATGTAACACTATTTGATATTATTAACCATATCAAATCTATGCTGCACCGAGCGTTAATTCCGGGAGGT